AAAAAATATTCTAGAACCACTTATGAAAAAGGTGTTCTAAGGTTTACGCCTATTACATAAGTAAGTATGCTTCGACTATTTTCGAAAGTCCTAAAATTTGTGAATATTAATCCCACTTCTGACTTGTCATCATTATTTACTCTTCTCACAACATACAAGTACATTTATTTAACAATAGACAAAGACTTTTGGTCATATTCCTAGTTCTCCCTTGAATCTGGAATGATGATATACATATTTTAAGAATGATTAAGCGTTGAACAGGTCTTGCATCTTCAAATTGATGAAGCCCTGAGGCTTTCTATATATATAGAGAGAGAGAGAGAGAGAGAACACCAGCAGATTAATTGGTTACTACACAAAATAAAGGAGGAAGAAGAAAGTTTCAAATTGACAGGGGGACGGACCAGGGTAACAATAATATACCCGAACTTTCTTTAGTGGGTATAATGAGGCGACTACGACTAAAAACATTGATGTGAATGGGCATGGGAATAATTTTAAGATATTTTATCCCTAATAGCCTCAGATTCAATGAATTTGGATACATAACAGATGTGTACGGGTGGAATACTCAGTATATTTAGACATAATTCCAATTTATTACTATTAGCATGTAATAATGGTATGTGTCCTAATTTATGACCTTTGTTGAAGAGTTATCTCCCTCTTTTTTAAGTAATAAAAATCAATTTTAAAAACTTTGAAGCAATTGATTACAATATTATTAGTTGTGAGCTTGAAATAATCTGACACGTCTGTTTCATATTTGGATATTTTACTAGAAAAAGACGTTAATGGTAATCTGACAACAAAGCTTTATGATAAACATGAGGACTTTAATTTTTCAATCGTTAACTTCCCTTACCTATGCAGCAATGTATCCTTGTCACCTGCATTGGGGTGTATATCTCTCAGTTGATTCGATACGCAATAGCACGCTCTATGAATGAACAATTTCTTAAACGAGGTAACTTATTGACAAAAAAGTTGATGAAACAATAATATGCTGACTCACTCATTGTTAGGTCATTATTCAAATACTGAATTTTCGACGGATTTTTCCGTTATTTCTCATCATATCAAGGAGCACACGGCGAGTGTAACCGGTCGGCAGGGGATGCTCACTCCTCCATGGACCTGATACCACCCCTGATGTTTTTGGAGGTCCGTGTTTGCTCTGCTCCCGATTTGTAGTGGTTTTATGTACTTTGAGCTTGAATACTGTTCGTTATCTCCATATTTCATTGTGAATGTATATATCGAAAGACTATTAGTAAGTTGTAAAATGTGTATATTCGCCGTTAAGAGCATCATTGCAACAATTATATAGTTAGAAATTTAATTAAGTTGTTGAAAATCAATACATTTCAGTAGTTTTTTTTTTTTTGGATTAAATATTAGGCCTATATATAATGTGTGAAAAGCTGACCCCCCCCCCCCCCAAAAAAAAAAATTAAAATAATAATATGCTGACAAATTCAGTAAAATGTGCACATTTGCTTCTTTATCCTTGATGGAAATGGAAACAGAGGGCCCGAAGTACAATATGCATTAATATTAATTAAAATTGATATTTTCAAGTTTAAACTAGTGGGTTTTATTTCTTTTACAAAAAAAACACGTGCCCCCCTTCTTTACCAACATTAACGAGTGATATAATACGATCAGGGTTAAAAATAATCATGCAATACATCTCAGCTCAAATTCCTCGATCTGTGTACAATATTTAAAGTCTTCATGTCAAAAAAGATCTTAAGTTATTGTCTGGTCGTGTTTTACTTAATTTGACATTGAATGAAGAAGAGAGCGGTCAAGGTCAAATATTTTGATTTTATTGTTGTCTTTCCTTATTCTAAGTTTGAAATTCTAATGTCAAAAAGTTCTCAAGTCATGACCTGGATTATATTTTCATGTTAAAGATTAACCTAGACTTATTTAATAATAGGTCAAGGTGAAAAAAATGTTGGCATTCACCCTTCCTCTACACCACGTCTCCATGTTCCAAAGTTGAAGTTTTAATGTCAAAAAGTTCTCAAGTTATGGTTTAGTCATGTTTTCTCAATTTGACCTTGATGAGGAAAGGGGTCAAGGTCAAAATTCTGACGCAGTGCATCTTGTGCCAATGTCTTCTTTCTGTGTTACAAGTTTGAAGTCCTAATATCAAAAGGATCTCAAGTTATGGCCTGAACTCTATTTTGATGTAAAAGATTGACCTTGACCTTATAAATTAGTCAAGGTCAAAATTTTGGTGGCGTGCACTCCTTCAAAATATCATCTAACCATGTTCCAAGTTTGGAGTCTTAATGTTACAGGATATATAAGCTACGACCCGGACAAATTTGGATGAAGAAGAAGAAAATCGACAAAACAATGTCTTTCCTTGGAAGGGGAGACACAATAAAGGAAAGGGGCATAAATGTCAGTAGAAACTATAAAATATATTATTGGAATTGTTCCGTTAAAAATGGTAAAAATTTAATTTCCTGCGCTTGCTCGGGATTTCATCTAGTACAGTTATATTTAAAATGTATGGATGATTAATGTTCATACTGTGTATGGATTGTAACCAAGAGAGTCGGAAAAAATGTAACTAGAAGTTTCAAAATATTCACATGTAAGTAATACGGTATTTGCCGCTGCTGAAAAAAGGGTTGCTTTTTTTGAAAGCCATGTAGGGAAATCATTATTTTGAACCAAGTCATCCGCTACAACATTAGTTTTTTTTTTCATTCAAAAATTTTCAGATCTCTCAATGACCTTTAAGCCTGCTATCGCCATGATCTTCCAGTGACCTCAAAGAGGTTTCCACGGTCTTTTTAAAGGTTTTTACTCTACCCAAAATAGTCTCTCAACTATTGCAAAGGTAATCAGTATTTAAACCAGAAGTCTCTGATGAGACTGTAGCTCTACTGGTCTGTACGTATAACAAAAGAAAAGTAGCACTTGGATTTGAAACTTTGCAACATGCAACAATAAATAGAATTATGTATCTTAATGTAGTCTACTTCTGTGCCAAGTTATATTGAAATAAAACAAAAACTGTAGGAGGAGTAGCGTTTTGAAAGTATTTCACGGAAATTTCTATTTTTAGTAACCATGACAACACTGTCCATCGAAATCAAAAACCGATGCACTAAATTATGTATCTTCGTGTGGTCTACTTGTGTGCCAAGTTATATTGAAATCAGACCAAAACTGTAGGAGGAGTAGCATTTTAAAGGAATTTCACAGAAATGTCTATTTTTAGTAACCATGGGAACACCGTCCATCGAAATCAAAAACCGATGCACTACATTATGCATCTTAGAGTAGTCTACTTGTGTGCCAAGTTATATTGAAATCGGACCAAAACTGTAGGAGAAGTAGCGTTTAAAAGGAATTTCACAGAAATTTCTATTTTTAGTAACCATGGCAACACCGTCCATCGAAATCAAAAATCAATGCACTAAATTATGTATCTTAGTGTAGTCTACACGTGTGCCAAGTTATATTGAAATCGGACCAAAACAGTAGGAGAAGTAGCGTTTTGAAAAATTGTTTACAGACAGACGGACAGACAGACGGACGACGGACACCTTACTATCGCTTAAGCTCTTCTGGTCTCTGACCAGTAGAGCTAAAAAACAGACAGATTCTCCAAATGTTTATTCAGAGTGCAAATTGTTTTGAACCTCTAAGGATCTCTCCTTGCACTCTTTCGGCGTTTCAGTAATCTTTTGTTTCCACTTCATCTCTCATAATATCTGTAGGTCTCTCAATGATCTTGATTGATCGCAAACATTCAGCAAACTTTAAAAGTTTTGTACAGAATGCAATGTAACTATCAATTTTAGAAGGATCTTTAAAGGATGTGTACTCCTTGAAGGCTCTGAACGCTCTGTGATCTCGACAGATCGTAGTTGAAATTGCGTAGTACTAAATCGCGGAACAGAACGGAAAATCTTATAGCAAATTATGTATATGACACGCCAAATTCACAAAAATGAGCTAAACATAGTTTCATTGTTGATGAACTAAGTTTATCGATTGTAAACTGTAGTTTACGGACTGTAAACTAAAGTTAACAACGTTAATTGATATTTAAAACCACTAAACCATAATTAACGCCGTTGTTTCACGCCAAGTTTAAAGCATATTTAGTTAACACTAAAAACAACCATTTGCGATTGCAAAACATATTTTCTCTGATACAGTTTCACGATTTGTAAACTTCATAGTTAAAGAATGATAATTATAGTTTACAGATATTTAAAGCTGAACATGATTCGTAAAAGGCAGAGACCTGTTTGTCCGCCATATTACTCTGCACTTGGTCTCATTTGTGGACGAACACATTCTACAAAACTATTGTAAACTTTCGGTAGCGACAAAAGTACTTTCTTTTAATAATATCACTAAATCCTCTTTAATGGAAACATTATTTGTAAATTTATTTGTATTTCTTGGATATTAAATGGGGGAAAACATATTTTGGCAATTGTGGGTCTCATTCGTTGCCATGGCAACCGCGACGTCATTTTACGCTGCATGATTAAATACTTTCAAGATTTTACCTTCCAGAAAATATATAGGTTGCTTTATGTAAAAGTGACAAGAAAATGTCTATATTTTTTTTTTTTGAAATTTTTAGGCAGTTTTGCAGAAAAATGCTAAATCTCTGGTAGTTAAAGGGTTAAGCATTCCTTTAGTCTCTGTTTTATTGAAGACAAGTCTAGGAAATACGCAATTCTAAAGTAAACTTGAAAACTCTTTATTTTTTTTATGCTACATGAAACATTCAACATTATTAACGTACTACAATGTATGACGAACGTCTCATAAATGTGTATAAATCAAATCCAATCACATGCATGCATCCAACGCATTACTTTTATGGAGTATTTGGCACATTTATCAAGATTAAGTACCTGTGATTAAGATGAAAATGATCGATTAAAACTGAATTATGGATCCATATCTGAAGTAGTGTAAAAAGAAAGAAAAACGTCTTACTAATTTCCGATGCTTCCATTATCGTCGTTTAATTTTCAGATGTACAGATTGATGAAAAAATGTCTTTAAACAAATGTATATGAACGCTTGTTTACAGAAGATTCCAATAGTATGTCACCTTTTGGAGTATTACTTCGTCGGAAATTGCATGAATTAGAGCCATGTCTTGCGGGACACAAAAGTTTCCGGAAGCCGTTCCTGAATTTTCTGCTGAAAAAGCAGTAAATAATCGGATTCATGCCGGAATTAGATGACCCCAACCACTGAGCAAATGGAATGATGGTATCGTGCAGGAAGTTATTATTGGTATCATGAAATGAAATGAACATATTAACTATGTATAAAGGTAACCAAGAGAAAGCAAACAGGAAAACTACAACAGCAAGCATTTTGACAACTTTAACTTTTGATCTTTGAATTACATTGTTTACTGTTCTGTTGGCTCCTAGTTGTTCCCTATTCCACACCTTTATGCAAATTCCTAAATAGCATATACATATTAATAGCAGGGGAATAGTGTAACAACACAAAAAAATAACACCTAAAAAGTAACCATTCCTTGCCATCTCGCTTGGCCATTTTTCGTAGCAGATATTGAGTATGATTCCATCTGAGTATTTATATTCCTGTTCAATGTAAAACACGGCCCATGGAATGATAATTGTACACGAGGTCATCCAGATACCTACTATAATTTTCCGCAGTTTTGTAGAATCGAGTTTGTATTTCAACGGTGAACAGATTGCAAAATATCTGGAAAAGAAACAAAGCAATGAATTATGGATCTAAAATCATGAATTATGAATGTATCCAATTACTTTGACAAATCTGTGTAGTATAATAAATTTTAGGGATTATTGATATTTATCATGCAATGGGCCACCTAGAGATGCCTGAAACGCTTAAATATTCTAAACTGCAACTTTGATGTCGGAAAAATTTATTGCAATATTGTAATTATTTCAATGACAGAAAAAAGAATGTTTATAAACTTATGTTGTTTATATTTGCGATGGAAGAACTTTTGTAAGCTTTAATTGAAGCATAATTACTTTATTGTCATCCTGTACAATATTGATTTCTTATATGATACATTTCATTGTACAGAAATCTTTCTTCTGAAAAAAAATAATATTTTATTTTAAGTCTAATTCATCATAAAGGTTTAAGTTACTTACAGATTTACCATAATAGCATATTTTAACAGCTAACTAAAATTCTCAGAAGTGCAGCTCATATTGCTTTAACTTGAATAAGTTTGAAACAAAGCTTACTTGACTTTTGCATTTTGATACCTTTTAAGCTGTATTTCAAATGAATAAAGCAATGTTACCTGTCTACTGCAATGACTGCAAGCGTATTAACGGACGCGCATACAGACACACCTTGGAGGTATGGCGTCACTTTGCACAAAATAGGACCAAATGGCCAACCTTAAATAAAATAAAAGTAAATTAAAACAAAACATTTTACTCGTTAACATGTTTTAAATTATTCTTTAAACTGCTCACATTTACTATTACTTGGAGAGATTTTAGTACATTTTCAACAGCGAGATACCAATTATTGAATAAAAGTAATATTTTTTCATGGTGTGTAAGAATATCAAAGTAGTATTTTCTCACAGTGTGAAAGAATATCAGAAGTGCAGCATATAAAAAACTGCCAGAATTTCTCCAAACATGTTCTTTAAATCCATGCTTAGAATCATAGGTACTTGTGGACAGGACCCCCCCCCCCCCAATATTCAACACGGAAGTTATATGTTGTAAATTGGACATTTTTAAGTTTTCTACGAGAACTTCGTCAATAAAAATGGAATCGTCATGCAGCCTTCAATATCTTATTCATTCAAATCCTGACTATATAATAAAACAATTATGGACTCTTTCGGTAGTGAATATGATTTGTTATTCACCTGAAAAATATCAATATTGACCGAGGCGAAGCCGAGGTCAATATTGATATTTTTCTGGTGAAAAACAAACCATATTCACCACCGAAAGAGTCCATAATTGTATAAAATTCCAGTAACTGAATATTACTTGTGTACATTGACAGATTTATATTTAATAAGCGTAAGTCTATGTATATTAAATATACATATTGTTATTTTTTTTAATATATGTATTGTTTATTGTTATATTTATTGTACACTTAATATCATTTTATGTGAAGTATGACGTCACAATAGGTCCCGGCCCGGGGTAGCTCGACGGTGTTAATATTCAAGGAATGTTTTTAAGTTTTGTGTGAGTTAGCGCTAGCGCTTCATAGAAAATGTGCAAGTCTGTTTGATTTACACACCAATTATGCACACTAAACATAAAATAATTCATTACATGTATATTATTATATTTACATTTTACATGTTCGAAAGCACCAAAAATATACTCAACATTTGAATTTCTCGCTGCCCTATATCGTAACATTCGTAGGCTTATTATGACGTCACTTTAGCGCGAGTTTCTCCGTGTGAGTGTACACGAAAATTGGCATTCAAATCAAATTTACTTGCTTAGTGGAAAAACACAGCAAAAGGAAATATATATTATTGTTGTCATTATGTTCCCCAAACGGAGTTTGGGAACATATTGTTTTTACTCTGTTTCTTATTAAGGTCTTCCGTTCCAGACGGAAGACCTTATAGTGATTGTACTGTTTATTATTAAGGTCTTCCGTTTCAGACGGAAGACCTTATAGTGATTCTACTGTTTCTTCTTTTTCTTTTTAAGGTCTTCCGTTTCAGACGGAAGACCTTATAGTGATTCTACTGTTTCTTTTTATTATTATTTTTTTTTCCCCTTTTCTTGTCGGAGCGTTTTCTCAGAGATGGCTGGACGGATTTTCTTGAAATTTTCAGGGATGATAGAGAATGAAAATACCCCTAGGCGTTTTTTTCATTTTTTCAAAATTCACTTCCGGTCGTCAGATATGTCCGATTTCCGTTTTTTTCAAAAATATTTTGTCCCAGTCATATCTCAGAAAAGGTAAGAGATTAAGACACCAAACCTATACGGTTAATAGATCTTGAGGAGTAGGCAAAACCATTTGGGTTAAGAGCGTCAGCCGTCACTTCCGGTCGTCACAGGAAGTGATCAAAGAAATCGAAATTTTCAACTTTTCTTTTTTGATTTTTTTCTTTCATTACATTGTTGCATCTTATTTGTAGATTCGAAATATGTTAGTCTTACCGGAACCAAAAACGTCAACTTCCGGCTATAAGTGAAAAACTGCATAATTTGAGTATTTTACTTTCCCATAAATATTTTTTATACATAATGTATTTGAACTGATTTTTGAATATGTTATCAAGACTGCAAATGTCTAGAGTAACGTCAAATATCTTTGTAAAATTCACTTCCGGTCGCGCGTTTAAATGTCCGCAAAATGAGAACTTGTCCGAGTGAGATCTCAGAAACGGTAAGAGATTTAGACACCAAACTGATAAGAGTATTAAACCTTGAGAAGTAGACAAAACAATTTGGCTTAAGAGCGTCAGTCGTCACTTCCGGTCGTCACAGGAAGTGACCAAAGAAATAGAAAATTTCAAATTTTCTCTTTTGAAATAAGACTTGCATCATATAATTGTATCTTTTTCACAGTTACGAGATGTCTTGGTTCCACCGGAAACAAAAAACGACAACTTCCGGTTTTAAGAGAAAAACTACATAATAGGGGTTTTGAATTTTCCCCAACATATCGCTTATAGATAGAGTTCTTTAAATGATTTTTATATATGTTATTGAGACTGCAGTTGTCTAGATTGACATGAAATATCTTAATAAAATTCACTTCCGGTCGCGTGTTTTCTTGTCCACAAAATGAAAAGTTATTTCAGCGAGATCTCGGAAACGGCATGAAAGTAAAACACCAAACTTGTAGGAGTAATAAAACTTGGTGAGAAGGCAAAACACATAGGGTTAAAAGCGTCAGCCGTCATTTCCGGTCATCACAGGAAGTGATCAAAGAAATCGAAAATTTCAACTTTTCTTTTTAAAATTAAAATTTTCATCACTTTATTGCTTCCCTTTCGCTGTTTTAAAATATGTTAAATTCCACCGGAAAAAAACTTTAAACTTCCGGTTTTAAAAGATAAACTACGTTATTTCGTGGTTTAGCTTTCTCATAAATATCACTTATAGATAAGTAATTGAAATGTTTTTTTGTTTTTTTTTTTACATATGCTGTAGATACTGCAAAAGTCAAGAGAAAATTCAGAGATTTTTATTCAGTTCACTTCCGGTCGTGTGTTTTCTTGTCCTCAAAATTAGAATTTGTTCTCACAATTGTTCGGCAACAGTAAAAGACTGAACTCTAAAACTTTCAGGACTTATAGTCAGTCATCAGTTCATTTGCTTGGTGTAAAAATCGTGTGTCGTCATTACTTCCGGTCGTGAGAGGAAACGAAGCAAAAAAGTATTTTTTAAGTTATTTTGTTTCTACATAAGTTTTAGGCTAATACCGACGTTGGAAAAGACATGTTCATGCAAACAGGAAGTCGTATAACGGAAGACCTTCTCATTACTAGTAATGAGTTTCTAGTATTCTTAATATTATTGTATAGACGAAATTTTGTAAAGGACTTTGTCCGCTCCATTTCTCCAGAACAGCTTAAGATATGAAAGTTAAATCTGTCAGATTTCATAGATAATGACTTGTGGATGTCATCATGAATATTCTTTTCGTCGTCAATACTTCCGGTCGTCACAGAAATTGGATTAAAATGTCGATTTTTTCAATTTCTTCGTCTTTCTAACTTCTTTTTTCTGTAATATTCATAGGGTACGTAAAGGCCCCTCTTTGAAGATTTTACGTATTACCAGTTTCTTGATAGGATTAAGAAGGAATTAAATATCTTTAAATATCTTAGAATTTCTGAAAACGTAGGACCAACGTATCTCAAAACACTACAAAATATTGATTTTTTCCCCGTATATATAGTTTGCGGGGACTGCTCAGCGCTCATTCACGTAGGACGCGGTGTAGAGGTAACACCTACCTG